TGTGTGTGTGTGTGTGTGTTACAGATGTGTGTGTGTGTGTGAGTGTTACAGATGTGTGTGTGTTACAGATGTGTGTGTGTGTGTGTGTTACAGATGTGTGTGTTGTTGTGATCACAGATGTGTGTGTGTGTGTGTGTGTGTGTTACAGATGTGTGTGTTGTTGTGATCACAGATGTGTGTGTGTGTGTGTGTGTGTGTTACAGATGTGTGTGTGTTGTTATGATTACAGATGTATGTGTGTGTGTGTGTTACAGATGTGTGTGTTGTTGTTGTATTTACACTGATGTACTGCAGCTGTCAGTCTGCTGTGATTCCAGCGATTAAAACTCCGATAAACTTCAAGAAAAACCAACATTTGACCAAAGAGACATAAAGACGCCCCCTAAAATATGAATATATTCAGATAATATGCACTATAAATAAGCTATATAATCAATAGATGAAGCTGAATCCAGCGCTTACAAACAGTGAATCATTTTGAGAAGCATTTGATTCAGTTAAACTGAATTGGTTTCAAAAAGCTCAGTTTCTCTATCATATCTTGCCAGCGCTCAAACAGAGTTTATGATGAACTGCTTCACTATAGACTGTAGGTTTGGACGCGCTGTATTCATAATAACTATGCTCATTAACCTTATTAAATACATTACGCTGTTACACTCGAAAATAATTCATTAAAAAGTTCAGTATAAAACAAACAGGCTGCACTGATTTAAACACTTTACACGATTAAAAACAAACCTTTCTTCAGCCGAATCACAGACGCAGGAGCGCGGCGCAACCTTATGACGTCACGCCACCACACCAAAATAAAAGTCCCGCTCAAACTGATGAGTTTGCACACCGAGAACATATTCAAGTGATAAGATTAAGATTTACAAACATAATTTTACTCCTCATAATAGTCCTCTATGGAATAACAGATGCATTGTGAAAAATATCAAATTCATCTGCTGTAAGTATGGTATAGTCTGTAATTGATCTTGTTGATGTCAGCTCTTTTATATGAGCAGTTTTGTGTATAATAAAAGGAATATTATTCACTGATTAAAGGCAAGAATATGACAACATATTCAGTTGTTAGTCCTCATCTACACTTAATCAGAGTGAATGTGTTGAATCAGTTTACTAGAAACACTGTAACTCTAGAGGGAGTACAAAATATATATGTTACAACATTTATGAAGACAAAGCAAAGAAAGCACTGATTGTGTGTGTGTGTGTGTGTGTTGATGCACATGTTGGCAAACCAGGCCCATTTAGCATTGTTTACATTGAAATCCTACCTAAAGAAACAAACCGATCAATGAATAAAATCGACGATCCTCTAGTCATATAGTCGCTCACTGTAATGTGCACAGATCTCTCCCACACTCTTAAAAACAAAGGTTCTTTACAGCAGCGTAGGCTCTTCAGAGAACTTTCTTCATTGTGTAGGGTCCTTGAGCTGAGCTAAACGGTTCTTTGGAGATGAAAGAGGTTTCATTATAGGTTCTTCAGATTAGTATGGCTCTTCAAGGCATTGTCCAGTAAGGGTTTCTCAACTCGGGCCCGAGATCCAGTTTCCTGCAGAATTTGGCTTACTGCACCGAGTCTCTGTCTGTCTGTGTTTCTGACAGTGGTGGACAGTGACAAAGTATTTTTCATCTGACTGTACATGAATCATTTCATATCAGAAATCACTGATTGGCGATTAGACCTTAGAATGAACAACGTTACATGTTGTGGTATTACTGTCGGATCCGTATCTACCAGGTAAAGGGTTAGTTCACCCCAAAAATGAAGATTACTCCATGATTTACCCTCAATGCATCCTAGGTGTGTATGACTTTCTTCTTTCAGACGAATCCAGTCGGAGTTTTATAAATTAGCAGCGGACAGACAAACACACAACAGAACGTGAGTCAATATCAGACACAGACTTTGTGAATGTGAGCATGGCTTGTTCAAAGAAAAGGAAAGCTGATAGTGAAAATCCCCTTTTCAAAGATGAATGGACAGAAAAGAATGCATTCATACTCCCCGCGACAAAACCAATGTGCCTTATATCCCCCGAGTCTGTAGCGCTCGTCAAAAGTGCCAACGTGAAGCGCCACTATGACACAAAACACAGTCATTTCGAGTCAAACGTATCCTCAAAACAGAGCTCAGAACAAGAAAAATAAATCGGCTCAAAGCCCAATATGAGAAGTCACCCCAAGAACCTGCAATGGAGTGCTCACTGAGAATATCTTGGAGCCATTTACAGACGCCAGAGATTGTTAAAGAATGTATGAATGAAGCTGCTGAGACCTTGCTTGATGGTCAACAGAAAGGTGAGCTTGAGGAAAAGATCAAACAGATCCCATTGTCTGACACCACAGCAGTTAGACGAACTGAACTGTTAGCTGAAGATGTTATTTCACCACTTGATCAGGCATTTAGAATGCACCATGCATTGATTTAGCTGTGTTGAATCCACAGATATCACCGATAATGCCCAGCTTCTGGTACTGGCAGTTTGGAGCTTTAATTATGTGCCTAATGACTAGTTTAATGTTCATTACAGGGTTAGGTTATGCAAATGTGGAGTTGTAAGGGGTTGTGCAGAAACTGTGTCAAGTAAGTCCGAGCTTTTGCATCACTATAAGTTAAAGCATCCACATTTTGGACGTAGTTCTCACTTTCCATGTACATCCCAGCACTATCCGTGCACATTGAAGACTTGTCCACCAAAGCAGTCCATTTCACAGAGGCCACTTCCAAAGAGCGTGCAATGCTCAGTACAATACACCTTTGTGCTTGTAGTGATTTTGTGTCAGAGAGGGATTATTTTGCGCATATAAATGCACATCTCAAAAAAAATGAGGTTGTATGTTTTTAGGCTGTGACTTCAAAACAAAAATATATTGTACATTCAATTCCATCACGCCGTCACTCACTTGCTGATTTCAAACCAGGAGTTGTTGTAAATGCAATATCATCTGTGAATGAGTTGGAGGCAAATAGCCAGGAGTGTGTACCACTCAAACTAGAAAACATTATTATAAGCTAACCGTTGTGAATCGAGCTAAAGTAAGGCGATAATTTTGAACACTGACTGGTTATGTACTTGCTCAAATATTGATTTCGGACCATTTTTAACCAAAAAACAGTTACGGACTGCAGCTTTAAGTAAATTAATTTGTACATTACCAGTGCACTACAGAAAAAATTCTAATTAAAAAATTCTTCAAAACTCAGAATTATGAAAATGTTTTCTTTATAAATCATTGTTTTCAAACAATGTAGATTTCTAAGAAAATATGTAAAACTATAAAAGGCTCCTTAATTAAAAAAGTAAACACAACTACAAGCAAAGTATACAGGTGCATCTCAATAAATTAGAATGTCGTGGAAAAGTTCATTTATTTCAGTAATTCAACTCAAATTGTGAAACTTGTGTATTAAATAAATTCAATGCACACAGACTGAAGTAGTTTAAGTCTTTGGTTCTTTTAATTGTGATGATTTTGGCTCACATTTAACAAAAACCCACCAATTAACTATCTCAACAAATTAGAATACTTATTAAGACCAATAAAAAAAACATTTTTAGCCTTCTGGAAAGTATGTTCATTTACTGTACATGTACTCAATAACTTGGTAGGGTCTCCTTCTGCTTTAATTACTGCCTCAATTCGGCATGGCATGATAATGCCCAGCTTCTGGTACTGGCAGTTTGGAGCTTTAATTATGTGCCTAATGACTAGTTTAATGTTCATTACAGGGTTAGGTTATGCAAATGTGGAGTTGTAAGGGGTTGTGCAGAAACTGTGTCAAGTAAGTCCGAGCTTTTGCATCACTATAAGTTAAAGCATCCACATTTTGGACGTAGTTCTCACTTTCCATGTACATCCCAGCACTATCCGTGCACATTGAAGACTTGTCCACCAAAGCAGTCCATTTCACAGAGGCCACTTCCAAAGAGCGTGCAATGCTCAGTACAATACACCTTTGTGCTTGTAGTGATTTTGTGTCAGAGAGGGATTATTTTGCGCATATAAATGCACATCTCAAAAAAAATGAGGTTGTATGTTTTTAGGCTGTGACTTCAAAACAAAAATATATTGTACATTCAATTCCATCACGCCGTCACTCACTTGCTGATTTCAAACCAGGAGTTGTTGTAAATGCAATATCATCTGTGAATGAGTTGGAGGCAAATAGCCAGGAGTGTGTACCACTCAAACTAGAAAACATTATTATAAGCTAACCGTTGTGAATCGAGCTAAAGTAAGGCGATAATTTTGAACACTGACTGGTTATGTACTTGCTCAAATATTGATTTCGGACCATTTTTAACCAAAAAACAGTTACGGACTGCAGCTTTAAGTAAATTAATTTGTACATTACCAGTGCACTACAGAAAAAATTCTAATTAAAAAATTCTTCAAAACTCAGAATTATGAAAATGTTTTCTTTATAAATCATTGTTTTCAAACAATGTAGATTTCTAAGAAAATATGTAAAACTATAAAAGGCTCCTTAATTAAAAAAGTAAACACAACTACAAGCAAAGTATACAGGTGCATCTCAATAAATTAGAATGTCGTGGAAAAGTTCATTTATTTCAGTAATTTTGCCTCCTGAAACTTGTGTTCAAAGAACTTTACGGTCGCTTCAGCTTCTGCGTCGACCGAAGTATTGTCACAGAGGGTCACGGCGGAGTT